GGGATTATACATGTTGCCTACCGGAAGCCAGCATGTGGGAGGAGAAAGAGATGATGTTAAGAGGACCGGCAAGCCGAGGATCGAGGATCGAAGATCGAAGTCCGAGGATCGAGGATCGAGATCCCGGAGTCGAGGATCGAGGTCCGAGGATCGACGGCGGCGAGGTCCGAGGATCGAGGATCGAGGTCCGAGGTTGGAAAATCGAAGATCGAGGTCCAGGGTGCTGGGGGGAGAAGGAGGAAGACAGAGAGAGACAGAGACATAAATATACATATAGTTCGAGAGAGAAAGAGAGAGAGAGAGAGAGAGAGAGAGAGAAAAAAAAAAAAGAGAGAACAAAAAAAGTAGAGAAATATAGACAGACAGAAGGAGACAGGAGGAGGAGGAGGAAGAGGAGGAGAAACGCCAAAGTTCCAAACATAGTAAGTTAAATATGTAAACAAACAATGGAAATTAAGATGTTCATCTGCTCGTGTAGGGTAGCTCGCGTGCCTCGGTTTTCGTGGATAGTAAAACACGGCGGTAAAACAGCTCAGGGTGCCAGGGGGAGTAGGAGGAAGACATATAGAGACAGAGACAAACATATACAGATAGTTCGACAAAAAGAGAGAGAGGAGTAGAAAAAGATAGACAGACAGAAGGAGAGAGAGAGAGAGAGAGAGAAAGAGAGAGAGAAAGAGAGAGAGGCGGAGGAGGAGGAAAAGGAGGAGAAACGCCAAAGTTCCAAACCTATTAAATGCAATCTGCAAACAAACAATGGAAAGTAACATGTTCATCTGCTCGTGTAGGGTAGCTCGCGTGCCTCGGTTTTCGTGGATCGTAAATCACGGCGATAAAACAGTTCAGGGTGCCAGGGGGAGAAGGAGGAAAACAGATATAGACAGAGACAGACATATATAGTTCGACAGAGAGAGAGAAGTAGAAAAAGATAGACAGACAGAAGGAGAGAGAGAGAGATATATATAGAAAAAGAGAGAGAGAGAGAGAGAGAGAGAGAGAGAGAGAGAGAGAGAGAGAGAGAGAGAGAGAGAAAGAGATAGAGAGAGAGGGGCGGAGGAGGAGGAGGAGAAAAACCAACGTTCCAAACCTATCAAATTTAACATGTAAACAAAGAGTGGAAATTAAGACTTTCGTCTGCTCGTGTAGGGTGCCTCATGTGCCTCGGTTTTCGTGGATAGTGAACCACAGCGATAAAAAAAGTTCAGGGCGCCAGGGGGAGAAGGAGAAAGACAGAGAGAGAGAGAGAGAGAGAGAAAAAGAAAGAGAGAGAGAGAGAGAGAGAGAGAGAGAGAAAGAGAAAGAGACAGAGACAAAGAGAGGCAGAGAGAGGGGAATAGAGAGAGAGAGAGAGAGAGAGAGAGAAAGAGAGAGAGAGAGAGAGAGAAACAAAACAAAACAAAGAAAGCGAGAGAGAAGGAGGAATGAATGAATGAATAGCTCGTGGAGTCCTGCCGTCACCCCTGTCATACTGCTACAGCGCGCTGTGTCAGACTTACATACAGAGATAGAGGACTCTGGGTCGGGTAGCTTCTGCCCCCCCCCCCCCCCCCCCCCCCCCCAGACATCGCAATGCAGCCATCGCGCTCCGCTTAAAAGCGGCACTGGCCGTCCTGCGCTCCCCGAAATGGGCGCGCAGCCCCGGGGGGGCAAGCTCCAAAGGCACGGGGGCCCTCGCCCAAGCCCGCCCCCCGACCTCCGACCCCCCCCCCCCCCCCTTGCCTTTGGAGCCTTTCTTAGCTCTAGGGGCATATATTATCGGAGTGATAGGGGGGGGGGGGGGGGGGGGACATATAGGTGGAGGGACGGAGAGCACGCTGCTAGGTGCTCAGAGCGGGACGATTAAGCACCGCTGGCCCCACGCTACCACGGGCCACGAGCTCGCGAAACCGCTCGCTCCCAGAAAAGGCCTCCCTGGTCCTAGAAGAAGAAACAAAACAGGAACGTATGGCCCCCTGCGGGGCCTGCTGACTGGTTACACCCTGGAGTGGCTCGGTGAGAAGTGGAGGGACAGCTGGCGACTCCAGCTGGCCGTCCGCCCCCCTGAGATCATCAATGATTTCTAAGTCAATGTATGTGTCAAATCTACTGGGGCTGCCTACTGCTTCTCCCTCGGTCCGACCTCCTCCGCTAGCTTCCGCTCCAAGGGCCCGCGTGGGGCCGCGCCTGCTAGGTAGACCCCCCCCCCCCCTCGAACTCCATCAGCGCCTCGAGTTGGCGGGAGAGAACGAGCCCGATATTGAGGCCGCGGTGGAAGTGGCAGGAGATGATGGCCTCGGGCTTCTCGCCGTCCGTCGCCTCGAGCACCTGCGCCCTGAAATGCGGGGCCACCCTGCCCAGCTTCTGCGCCGTGATGCCCTTGGCGAAGATCTCGTTGGTGTAAAACTCCTTCATCTCGTCTCGCAACTTCACGTGGTCTGGTGGAGCGCCCTCTGCGAACTGCTTGCTGCACCCGTGCAAGATGCATGCCATCGCCACGTGCGCGTGCGGGGGCCCTCGAAATTTGTGGTCGACGAAGTGGCCTTCCTTCTCGAGCTTCTTCATCTCGGCGCTGTGGTTGTTGTACTTCACCCCCGCCGCTTTGCCTGCTGCCGCCATGCCCGCCGACGCGTCGGGCATCTCGTACCTGAGGTGCAAGGCGCTCTTGAGGTCCGCGACCTCGCGGGCCAAGGAGAGTGAAGTCTCTCGCTTCGCTTGAGACATCCTCGAAGAATTGTTGGTTCCGCTTGAGTCATCCTTGACAAATTGGTCATTTCGCTTGAGGCTGCCTCCAAACATTGTTGGCGTCGCTTGAGGCATCCTCGAAAACGTTTTCGCTTCGATTGATGTTGCTATCTCAACATAAGAAGGAAGTTAACCTCGATGGCGCACTTGTCACAGTGGTAAAAAAAGTTCGGCCTCCACGCCCCGCGCCCGTGACCAAACTCTTATTGGCCGTGGATAATCAACTCAAACCTGGGAAAGAGAATTCAACAACAACAACAATACCCACAACAACAACAACAATCAATTTTAAAATGTTCGCTTTTGTCTGCTCGAATGCCCGTCAACATGTATTCCCCGAGCCCTCGACGCCCGCCCTCTTCGTCTTCGATCGTGCCCCTATTGGGGGGTGTGCATTTCTCCCCTGCAGGCCGGGCCCCGGCGAGCGGCGGGGCGGCCGCGGACCGTCGGCCTGGCCAGCGGCAGCGCTGATCGGCGGCAAACCGACCCCAAGAGGCATGCACAGGGGACCGACCACGACTACGACGACGACGACGTCGACGGCGACGACGACAACGATCGAAAGCGAGCGCGAGAGAGAGAGAGAGAGAGAGAGAGAGAGAGAAAGAGAGAGAGAGAGAGAGAGAGAGAACGACAATAGGGCCGCGAAGGGCGCGAAGTAGGCCACGAAGGGGGACAGCGGGGGCGCGAAGGGAATGCGGATGTGGCCACGATGCGCGCGAACGAGCGGGGGCCACGAAACGCAAATAATGCTGGGCCACAGAAGGCAACGACGGGGCCACGAAGGGTAGGACTGGGCCACGTAGGACAGCGATGGGGCCGCAAAGGGCGACGGCGGGGCCACGCAGGGCGTGCGCATGGGGCCGCGACGGGCGAGTGCGAGCGGGGGCCACGAAGGGCATGCGCATATTGGGCCGAGGAGGACAAGGACGGGGCCACTGAGGGCAGCAACGAGGCCACGCAGGGCAGCGAGGGGGCCATGAAGGGCGACAGCGGAGCCACGAAGGGCATGCATATGGGACCACCACGGGCGCGAACGAGCGGGGGGCACGAAGGGCATACACGCATATATGTATATATTTATATATGAAAATAAATCATGTATATACATATATATGATTATATATATAAACGGGGCTTCTTTTCCAGCGGATAACATATGTCTCGTCGATCCCACGCGCGTCTTGGCGGCTGCGACCCGGCCGCCAAATGGATTGGGCCAGCATCCCTGGGCCGAGCCTTAAAAAGTTCCGGCGTGGGTGGGTGGGCCGCAACAGCAGACTTGAAAGAGACGTTGCGGACGAACCTCGTTTTAAAGCACGTCGAGTTTCACGAACCCCCTGAAGATAGTCATGTGCACGCACCCCTCTATCAACGGGGCTTCTTTTCCAGCGGATAACATATGTCTCGTAGAAACCGCGCGCGTCTTGGCAGGCTGCGACCCGGCCGCCGCGTGGATTGGGCCAGCACCCCTGGACCGAGCCTTAAAAAGTCCCGAAGCCACCCGGAGAGGGGAAGTTCTCGAATTAAGGAGGGTCTGGGCTAGGGCGGGTCGCGAGAGCAAGATCGGAATAGTTGATCATGTTATTCCGAATGCGACGCAGCAGCGAGTGAGCGAGCGATTCACACAATTTCCTCGGATAAGGTTGGGCTCTACGTGTCATTGCGGATCCTTCCAACTGGTGGTGTTTACATCCAGTCATACTGCAAAGCCCCCCTTTACCTGTGCAGAGTCGCCTCAGACTGACCAGGTCGTCTCTTGGGGGTCCTCAGCAAATAAAACGAATGCGCTTCCTCCAAGGAGCGCCAAACTAGCACAAATCGCTCGCGACCACCTCGACGCTTTCCCGAGACAGCGTCGCTTGCACCTGCGGGATCACTCAAATCTTGGACGAGTTAGGACTCTCGATAATCCACGGAATCTTCCGAGCATGCACATGCTTTATAATATTCAAACACGCGGTGAGACACGCGCTTCCTTGCACCAGCTGCACCGCATCCCGTGTGCTACGCCAGGGGGCTCCCCAAGGATACCGGGGCGTTCGCATGACCGCGGCGCGGTCTCTGGCGACCGAGAACGTCTGACAAGGCGGAGCGAATATGGCGGCCAAGAGACGGCCCAAGCAGGCGTCTTGGCGTATACATCTGAGCACAGGCGGGCGAGTTAAATCGCCGTGGGGCCCCTCGCGGACGCCCCAGGTCCACGCGGGCGCGCCTCGTCGGCGGCTGGCGAAGGCAACCCCGCCTTCGCCCAAGACAGAAATCTCAAAGATACTGGCCTTTTCGTGCCGCTCCGCGCCGCCAGCTGCGCGGCTGGCGCCTCGCAGCAGCAGCTCCTCGAGGCGCGCGTCGAGCACCTCGCAGCGCGTCCGGGTCGCCAAAGGAAGGTCGTGCCAGGCCTTGCTCAGCCTTGCCGCCCCCTCGTATCGAACGACCGACTTGCGGCTTGCCCGGCGCCCCCTCTTGCGCGCCTCGTCGAGGGGGTGAGCTGCAGGGCCCTGTCGATGCTGGGGCCGCTGTGCCGCATCATGTAGGGCGCCGATGGGGCGCCGAGCTGCGCGCATGTCTCCTTGAACTTTCTTGCCGGCTCGGGGCGCGTGAACGCTCAGACGGGCTTGCCCTTGGGAGCTCCCGCCAGCGCAGACCATAGCGGCGTCAGCTCCAGCTGCCACTTGCAGTCCAGCACCACGCTGTCGTCCATCGCCCCCGTCCTGGTGGTGATGCCCCTGTTCTGCGGGCAGATGATGAGAGACCAGTGCCCCGACGCCCCCCGCGCTGGGGGGGCAGATCCTCGGGCTGAATCTCCATCAGCTCGTGGGGCCGCAAGTAAGCCCCCACGCCCAGGAGGACGGCCATGGCCATCAGCTTGCGCCCCCGCAGGCAGAGGTCTCCGGCGGCCGCCTTCCACGCCGCCTGAGGCAGAGGACGCCTGGAGCGGCCGGGCGCACGGCGGCGCAAGCCCCGGAGGCAGCGCCAGGCCCGGGGGGGCCGCCGCTTGCCCGCCTTGCTGACGGCCGGGTGGCGGTCGGCAGAGGCTGCCAACACCTTCCCCCCATCGTCCGGCTGCTGGCCAGAGAGGAAGCTCGCGTTGAAGAACTTCACGAGCCAGTCGTCGTCGTCCGCGAGCGTTGGGCCTAGCCCCTTGGCGAACGTCTCGAAGTCCTGGAGGTGGCTCGAGTAGTAGCGCCGCACGTTGGCCGTCGCCGCCTTGTCCTCCAGCATGCCCAGGCCCTCCTTCTCGAAACCCAGCGCCGCTCCCAGATGCTGCGACAGCCGCCGCCGCGACCGCCTCGCCAGCCCCCTCGCCCTTCCGCCTACGGCGTCGGGCATGGGCTCGGACGAGGAGCTGACGCTCGAGCTGGAGCCGGCAGGAGCCAGCGGCGCCGGCCCCAGAGCGGCAAGGCCGTCCAGCAGGTTCGGCCCCGTTGTTGGCAGACGGTGCGCCAGGTCGCCTGGCGGGCCTAGCGTCCGGGAAGACCGTCTCGGCGCCGCCGGCCCGAGAGACGCATCCCCAGCTCTGCCGCTCGAAGCGGGCCTCAGGGCTCGCCGACGCTTCGGGCTCGGCGCATCCTGGGGCACTGGTCGAGACAAAACACGAGTCCGAGGAGCTGCCTGACGAGGCGGCATCCGAGAAAGTTTTGAGCCGAACTGAGCACGGAGAAGAAGGGTGAGAGCAAGCAGTCGGCCTCTTAGGAAAACCGGGGTCGTGTCGACGCGAGGGTTCCTCCGCTGAGTTCAGTTCACTTGGAATCCACGTAAAAGAGAAAGCTACATTACGAGAAAGGCTGCACGCCACGGCCCGACGGATATGAATGGGGAGCCGGAATTCGCTTGAGCGGGACCGCGCGAAGGCCAAAACAATGCTCATATTGTCGCCAAGCATCAGAGCCCTACAGTGACACCCAGGGGAGTTCAAAACAATCCGACGGACCCTCAGCCCCAAGGGCCGAGCCTCGAGAATTAGGATGTCCTCGGCACAACTCAATTCGCCCCAGACGCGAGGGGTCCAGAGGCCTTTGTCGAGGAGCCCCGCTGGGACCTCAGGAAAATCGGGCGCGACGGAAAATCGGCGCTCTCGCACCCCGGGGTTTCCCAGGCGCCAGATAGAGGGTCCCGAGCGAGGCCGGCCGCGCTGAGGGCCGACTCGCGAGCACTGTGGCCCTTGAGCTGAAACCTGCTCCTCTCCAGAACGCGGCCGACGGAGGACACCTGCGCCGGGCGCCAGAATGACGTGCAGACTCCATATCCCTGCTCACTGGCGTCACGCTCAGCCACAAGCTCACTCCAACCACGCCCCCAGTCCTGAACCAGAGAGATCATCAGCCCTTTCCAGGCTCGGATCTCATCACGAACGGAAGGCCACAGAGGAGCGACCTCCGAGTAGTGGGCACGACAAAATCGATAGCACGTGTGGAAGACCGACAAGGGGCCCCTCTGGATCAGACTCAGGAAGGCAGCGTGACCGAGCCAACATTCGAGAGCCCAACCTGCGCATTTACTCCGACGGAGTATTTCCTCACACGCAGCCCACATCTTCCAAAAACGTTCGGGCGCGGCGGCGGCCCGCAGCCGCTGGCCGTCAAGCTGGCAGCCCAGGGCGCAGATGTCCCTGCTCACCACCTCCCCGCCGTGGAGCTCCAGCCCGTGGACAGCGAAGCTCGCCTCCCACTCGTGGACCGCGCGCTGGGCCAGGCCCCTGTCTCGGGCGAAGGCGCCCAGGTTGTCCACGTGCGCGCGGTGGCGGGGGCGGCCCTCGGCCAGCGCCAGGGGGGGGGTCTGTCGCGCAGCGGCGTCGACCCGCGCAGGCCGGGCGCCGCAGCCGCCAGCCGCTCGTCAGCGTTCTGGGCGAAGTACAGCGACCAAGCAAACCCCGTGCACATGGAAGCGGAATTGGGCCACGCAGCGTCGGTGGGCCTGAGCCGCACTCCGTCCAGCTCACGCAGCCCCAGCACCCGCGCGGGCACCTCCGGCCAGGCGAAGTAGGGCCTGAGCCTGGCAGGGGCCTTGAGGCGGTGGAAGCAGTCCTTCGCGTCAGCCATGCCGAGGTACAGCCTGACCGCCTCCAGGCCCGCTAAGACGCCGTCGCCGATCTCGATGTTCGCGAAGGCCTCCGAAGTACACAAACGGATGCCTGGCGGGGCACGGAACCAACAGTTGCTCCTCCGAGCGTCGACGATCAGCCTGAGACACGTCCTGTTGCTCTTCCAGACGAAGAAGATCACGACCCTCTCCCGAGGCCTGAGGGTGGCATCCAGCATTCCAAGATCCCAGAGCCGTCTGACGAAGCCGTGGTATGCCTTCTTATGTACAGCAGCTTCCTATCGGTGTAGGGCGCGATCACGCGTGTCTCGAATTCGATACTCTCCAAGTCAGTCGCGGGCCGCAGCATCAGCTCATGATGGGCCTCCAAGTGGCGAGAGACCTCGGCGTCCAGCAGCGACTCAATCGGAGGGGTCCCCGACGCGTCGCTCGGCAGGGGCACCGGGTCGGCGTCGAAGGCCGCGAGGCTCGCGGGGCCAATCTCCAGCTCGCACAAGGACCGGCCGCGCAGGAGGTCTCGGAGGGCCTCCCGCCCCGAGAGGGCTTCAGGCATGGGCTCCCAGTCCTTGACCAGGCCTTCCACGCGGGCCATCACCTCGGGCGTCAAAACTCCTGGAGTCGCAGGCTCCTGAGAAGGGCCCCAGATGTCGTAGCCAGCGAGCCAGTTCAGTCCGTGGACCGCCTCTTGCACCATCCTTGTGCCCCGCCTGGCCAGCCTTCTTTGCCGAACGAGTCGAAGTGGCAGGGCCTGCAGGCACGGCAGGAACAGGCAGAGGGAAGAAGTCCCTCCGAGGACGGCCACCTGGGGAAGGGAACCCAGCGCCCCGCGATTGCCCGCCAAGGGAGGGGCGAGCCCCCTTAGCGGTGCTGCCGATCATTGCGGATCGGCGGCAGCGGGCGCGAGTCCGCGCCGGCCTCGGCCGCCGCCGTCGCGCCCTCCGCCGCCGCGACCTCCGCGTGCTCCGCGACCTCCAGCGCCGGCCGCAGCGTCGCCCGCGTCGGCGCCCTCCGCCGCCGCAGTGGGGCTGCCGCGGAGCCTCCGCGCGCCGCCCTGGCCCAGAGCTGCAACCACGTCAGCCCGATCCTTAGCCCGCCGCGCAGCGAACGACTGAGGGCCGGGCTGACGGGGTTCTCGGGGGTGCCAGTGCCCACGTGCAGCTTGGCGTGCTCCCAGGTGACCTTCTGCGGGTTAGCGCACGCGTCGAAGATGATCTGGATGCGGCGGCACAAGGTCTCAACTGATGCGAGGGCTCCAACATTCATTTGGTCATAACCCCCAGCAAAGTACATAGCGTCGCACAGCACCTTCATTTCATGGTACGTCCGATCCGACCCATCGATCTTGCGTTCCCTCAGCCGCTTGAGAAGCCACTGCCGAGGGTCGCCGCCGTGGCGGTCGAAGTGCTTTGCCAAGAACAGGGCGGCGCTGGGGCCCTCCAGGGGCGTGTCTGAGAACGTCTCCTGAGTGCTCTCGCAGGCCACGTCCCGCCAGCACTTGAATCCCCCCCCCTGGTTGTCGTAATCGACCCAGAGCGCGCGAACGTCGGCGGCGGGATCTGCATCTCTGGGAGCGGCAGCACCGTCGGACTCCAGGCCCAGCGCGTCCCGCTGCGAGCCATCCGAAGGCCTCAAGCGTCCGCCCCCGCCCTTCGCCGCCTCGTCGTCGGCCGCGGCGGCAGCGGGGTCCGCCAGAGGCGGGGTCGAGGTGCCCCCGACGGCCGCGCCGTCCCCAGGCTGCCAGCGAGCGCGCTCCTTGGCCACCACGTCGGGCACCGCCTCCGGTCGCATCAGCCAGCAGTGGACGTGGGTCGACCCGCCCAGCACCAGCGCGTCGTGGTCGCCAGCCGACGCGAAGGCCTGGCCGCGCAGCACCGCCTCGTCGCCCGGCGAGGGCGATTCACCGAAGCCCATCGCATACCAGCGAAGGCCTGGCGGCGGCGCGATGGCATCCGCCGGCGCTGATGGCGGGGCGGCCGACGGGGGCGGCAGGGGCAGCCCGCCTCCCTCGGGTCCAGGGGCCGCGGTCCGCTTGCCCCGCACTCGGCGAGCCGGCGCGGGCCAGCGCGGGATCAGCTCGCTGATCGGCACCATCTCGCCCGCGGGCAGGAGCACGTCGTCCAGCGCAGGAGGCGCCAGCCCAGAGCCAGGGTCGCACGCCACCACCGCCCGATACCCACGCTCGAGCATGTCCACGAGCTCCTCGCGGCCAGGGTACACACGGAACCGATAGGGCTTCCTCCCCTGCCAAGCGGGTTTCGAGCCGTCATCTGGCAGCGGGTACGTTCTGACGATGTCCTCATCCGCTCCTGCCGCCACCGCCTTGGCGATGAACCAGACGTGGCGATGAACCAGACGTCCTTCTCGCGGGTGCACGGGCGAAGCAGCAGCCGCTCGTGGTCCACCGTGTCCCCGCGGTACTGAACGCCGATCGTCTGGCCCGGCTTCAACTCACTCCACCACGCCCCTCCGTCCTCGAACATCAGCAGCGACATCGCGAGGAGGACGGTCGCCGACTGGCACGCGCTTTGCCCCAGGCCGGCGCCCCCTCTCCGCAGCCCAAGCCGCCGCCCGCCAGAGGCCTCCCGCAAGCAAGTGCGAGGCCACCTGCTCCGCCACGCTGGTCCCGCCAGCCGTCAGCGCCGGGCAGCTCGGGCAGACTGGGCAGGTTGGCGCCAAGGGGCAGTCGGGGCAGCCCCAAGCCTGCGGCACCTCGCAGGTGGGGAGAGGCGGCGGAGGAGCTGGGGCCGCCGAGGGGACCGGCACCTCGAGCTCGAGCAGCTCCACTCCCCAGAGGCCGCCTACGGCAGCCGCCAGGAGCGCCGAATGGGCCAAACGAGTCCCGGGGGCGCCGGCGGGGCCAGGGAGCGCGAGAGGCATCCGCTTTCCGAAACAGCAGACTTGAGAGAGAGAGAGAGAGACGTTGCGGACGAACCTCGTTTTAAAGCACGTCGGGTTCCACGAACCCCCTGAAGATAGTTACGTGCACGCACCCCTCTATACACAAGACTGCCGTGGCGCTTCGCGCCATGCACCTTGGTCCTTGAAGTTTGGTACGCAGGCGGAAAAGCAGGAAGGTCAAGCCGACAATTTAAGCATAACTCCTTGTTGCCTTTTCTGGCATCGCCGCTACAATAATGTTATTCGTTGCCCTTCCTCCATGCTTATTTTTCATCATTTTCGCCATACCCTGCGTATTCCCCCATCCTCCTCAGCTCTTTTTTGCGGAGGCTCCTCCGTGGCGAGCCTCTGGGGGCCTCACAAAGGTTATTTCAAGCTTTCTCAAAGCCTTCTGGAGACCTCCTGGGTGTATTCTGGGGGCCTCTGGGGGTTTCCTCGGGCCACCCTGCCTCCAACCGCGGTCTCCCTGAACGACCGGGTCACGATTTGGAATGCTTCGGAAGGTGTCTTGGGGCCACCTTGGGCCGCCATGGGGCTCTGCGAGGGCCATCTTGGACCCGTGTTGTGCCGTTTGGGGGTTCTCTTGGACTGCGTGGAAGCCCTTTCGGATGGTTATGGGGCGATTTGGGAGCCTTTTCAGGCGGCTTCGGACGCCCAGAAGACCGCCGTCTTGGAGCGTCGGGAAACCGAAAAAAGGAGAACTCCCAAATTCACCAACAACCAACAGAAAATCAATGATGTTTGCCTCTTGGGGCCTTCTTGGCAGTGCTCTTGGGGGCCTCTTTGGGGCCGTCCTGGAGGCCTGTTGGGCCATCTTGAGGTTACGTCGGTCACTCTTGGAGCGCTCTTGTGCTGTCCTGGGGGTCTCTGGGACGTTTCCGATGACCCACCTGATCGCCCTAGGTGTGCTGGGAAGGCTTGGCAAAACGCCCTGCAAGGCCCAGGGGGCCGCTTCGAGGCCCGTCCGGAGGGTCCCAAAGCCCCAGATCCCCGGAGTCAGTTTTTTTGGGGGGGAGGGGTGGGGGGGTCCCCCCGCCCGGGCTTATAAAAATATCATGAGGAGTATATATATATATGTACAAACACATATATATATATATATATATACACTAGAACCATCGCGCGCGCTTCGCGCGCACTCAGGTTCTAGCAGGCCCCAGGCCTTGACGAATTCACTGCTCCACTGAAGCAGTGAACAACAGTCCACGCATGCCAATCTGCATTCCGAAAGGCCTTCGAGGAAAATGGTTGTGTAGGGGGGCGGAGGCCGCATGAATCGGGTTCCCAGAGGGCCTTCTGGGAGCATGGGTTTGGGGCGTCTTGGGGAGCCTATTGGGGCGTGCCGTCGTCGTCGTCGTCGTCGTCGTCGTCGTCGTCGTAATGTCGTCGTCGCCTATTGGGGCGCGCCGTCGTCGTCATCGACGTCGTCGTCGTCGTCGTCGGCGTCGTCGTCGTCTTCGCCGTTTCGTCGTCGTCGTCGTCGTCGATTCAAGAGGGCACTTGGGGCAACTTTGTGCGAAACGATCTGCGGAGGGCCGCGAGAAGGCGACCAGTCATGTTCCCAATCAACTTCCATACAGCTCTACTGTAGCATGATGGTACTTCGAAGCCTCCAGAGACTCGCGGGCCCATGATGAACCATGTTCCCGGAAGGCTTTCTGGGGACATGGTTTGTTGGGGTGTGTTGGGGGTCTCTTGGGCGTTCCCTGGGGGCCCCCTGGGGGCCTCCGGGAACTCTCGCGCCCATGATGAACCATGTCCCCGGAAGGTTTTCTGGGAACATGACTGATTGGGGTGTGTTGGGGGGCCTCTTGGGCGTTCCCTGGGAGCCCCTTGGGGGTCTCCTGGGGCTTCCTGGGGGCCTCTTGGGCGCCTCACGGGGCTTCGTGGGAGCCTCTCGGTCGCTTCGGGGTCCTACAGGCGGTCTCTAGGGCCAGAGACCTCGACATATCGGTTAACCCCATGCCGCGGATAATAAACACACAGGGATAATAAAGTTCGGGGTTTTCGGGGAGATACTAAAAGTTGCCCGCCAGAGCCAGCATAAAGCGATATCAAGAGGAAAAAGCCAAAGATATCTTGAGGATCCTTGGTCTTTGGTCCTCTATGAGACATCCTCAACAATGATTTGTCTCGGTTGAGGCATCCTCAACGATTGCTTGTTTCTATGAGACATCCTCAACAATGATTTAGGTCGGAAGAGCGAGAGGAGAAGAAAAAGGAGGAAGCAACATTCAAAGTTCAAAACTTATCAGATTTAAAATGTGTAAGCGCTTACTGAAAATGAAAAGTGTAATCTGCTCGTGCACGTGCTTAGTATTCCCAGGATAACCAACCCCAGCGATAAACAAGTTCAGGGGGGCAGGGAGACAAGAAGAACAAGCAATAGAAAGAGAGAGATAAAGAAATAAGAAAAGAAAGAGGAGACGGATGAGAAGGAGGAAGAGCAGGAGAAGCAGAGGAAGAGGAAGAAGCAACAATCCAAAGTTCAAAACGTATTAGATTTAATTCGTAGACGCTGAATAAAAATTAAAATGTTCATCTGCTCGTGTAGGGTAGCTCATGTGCTTAGTTTTCCCAGGATAACCAACCCCAGCGATAAACAAGTTCAGGGCGCCAGGGGGAGGAGGAGAAAGAAAGAGAGAGAGAGAGAGACACAGAGAGAAAGAGAGAGAGAAAGAGACAGAGAAATAAAGAGAGAGAGAGAGAGAAAGAGACAGAAAGCAAGACACATAACAAAAGATCGTTTGGTTTTAGGCTGCCTCCCAAAATTATTGGTTTCGCTTGAGACATCCTGAAACAAACGTGTTCGCTTCGCTTGATGTTGTTATCTCAACATAAGAAGGAAGTAACCTCGATGGCGACCTTTCCCAGTGATAATGAAGTTCGGCCTCCGCGCCCTCCGCCTATATTTGAAACCCTTCTAGGCCGACGATAAAAAAAACTCTAACGACTTAAGGGGGGGTACTTTATTATCCTCGGCATGGGGTTAGCGGTCCCCCTCTGGGCCCTCTCTTGGGGAGCTCTTGCGGCACAGTTGGGTTGTCTGAGGAGCATCCTGGGCCGTCTTGGGTCCCTCTTCGGGGCCTCCTGGCCCGTCTTGGAGCGATCTGAAGGGCCTCCGAGCGAGGCCGTGAGGGAGCGCTGGGAAGCGGGGAAAGCGAGAACGCCTGAATCCTTCAAAAACCATCGGAAATTTAGTGAATCTTGCCTCCCAGGGCCCTCTTGGGGAGCCTCTTGAGTCTGTCCTGGAGCGTGTTCGAGTCCTCGTCGGCCGTCTTGAGGGCAGCTTAGGCGTCTTCGGGGCCTCGTGGGACCGTCTAGGGCCCTCTCGGGACCTCCATTAGCCTGTCGTTGCCTGCTTCGGGGCAGGCCCGGGCCGCCTCGGGACCCCTCTGGGTCTTCTCTTGGCGCGCTCTTGGGGCATACTTGGGTTGTCTGGGGAGCATCCTGGGCCGTCTTGGAGCGATCTGAAAGGCTCCGAGGCCGTGAGGGAGCGCTGGAAAGCGGGAAAAGCGAGAACACCAAAATCCAAAACACTCGGAAAACGAGTGAATCTTGCCTTCAAGGGCCCTCTTGGGGAGCCTCTTGAGTCCGTCCTGGAGCGTGTTGGAGTCCTCGTCGGCTGTCTTGAGGGCATCTTGGGCGTCTTCGGGGCCTCGTGGGACCGTCTTTTGGGTCCTCTCGGGACCCCCTTAGCCTGTCGTGGCCTGCTTCGGGGCGGGCTCGGGCCGCCTCGGGAGCTCTGGACCCCCTCCCCGCAACCCCTGGCGGCCACCGATGGGGGGAACAGGCAGCGGCCCGCCCCCCCCCCCGGGCCTACTCCGAGATCGAGAATCATGTTCCCGGGAAGCTTTCTGGGAGCATGATTTGTTCGGCTCTCTAAGAGGGGGGCCTCTGGGGGCTTACCGATGGGCGCCATCTGGCCTTGTGGGCAAGCCTATTGGAAACATGGTTGGGGCGGTGGGCGGAAGCCCAAGGAATCATGTTCCCGGATAGCTATCTGGGAAATACGATTTACCGAAGTGTC